AAAATGCAGAGTCAGTACTATAAAAGAGTGTTGGAAAAAACTGTAATACATTTGAATAGCCAATGTCTATTCAGTATATATGTTTATTAAACAACCAGCCATTAAAAACTGTCTACTTAATAATGCAATTAATTGCAAACTCGTAAATTGACCAAGCCATACAGGTACATTAATATTCATATTCACTTCATGAAATAAACAACAGAAACTTGTTGAAATATTTTAATCAATTTGAGAATAACATGAGTAAATTATTCATACTTACAGAGAGGAAAATTGTTTAAAGATATAAATTACTGCTAGGGGGTGGATGTGATTGTATTTATTTAGTACAAAGATAAATACTTGTTTGTCAGTAAAAACAGCATATTTTGGGTGAATGATTGAGAAATGTTGACAAACTTGACTATCACAGTAACATAAATATGTGTATTTATCATACATATCCCTTTCTGTAAAATAATCATTTTTAGTGTTAGTTAGTTGACAATTTTGAATATTTCTTTTATTTTAAACTCTGCTATTGGTATTAATATTCCTTTTTGACAAGCAAATTAATTTGACAGCTACTGAGTAAGTTTCTATTTTTCATTAGAAGAAAGAGTGATGTAACATCAAAAGATTGCATGGCGATAGTCTTAATAGTCTTGTTTATTTTCCAAAGCTAAATGTCAATAGAAGTTATAAAAAAATTATGAATTCTTCATAATTTGTTTCTCTTTCTCTCTTTAATAATTGACAGTATTAGGCATACGCAAGGATCACGTGATAATCTTTAAAAAAGAATGATTAATATTATTGGACACCGTAAATTTTGATTGGCCAAGTTTTAATTAACGGTTAAAATGTTTTTATATAAGTTTACTATATATATTTTGATGTATTAATTAAATAATAGCTTTGTTTGCATTGCCCTGTCTGAATCACCTATTATGGGACTAGTAGAAAACGGCCAGAGCTCTGCTTGAAAATGGTCAAAGATCTATTTTCATGTATAAAATATTTAAAACTGACTGAGAGAGGTAGAAGAATTGAAAGACAATAATTGAGAAAGATAAATATGGAAGGACAGTTGCTCTGTCACTCCTTGCTCCTCTTCCTCCCTGGACCAAATCATTTTTCAACAAATTTCTTCTTCAGGTAGCTTTTCACTATTAGAGTAGTAAAAATTCTTCTGACAGTTAAAATCCTTCCTTTGTTAAACATGCAAAAGGAAATATTTGATACTTGAGACAAATTTAAAAATGTTAAAATGACAGAAGCTCAGATTTTAGAAAATTGATTTAAAATATATATTTCACATTAGATATGTGTCACTTTATTAGTTCAAATAGTTGCTTCTAGTAGCTCAATATTTTTTTAACATATAAATTTATTATTTAAAATATAAAATTACATCTTCGGCCATTTTCAATTAGACTCTTTCCTCATTATATTTGAGTGTACACTTCTATTTTATATTTCTTTTATGATTTCATTAGAAAAAAATATTTTGAAGTCCTTTTTTCACAGATTTCACAGTGAATAATCCAAATTGTTGAATAGGCTCTTATTCATGTAAAGAAATGCAAAGAAAAAGAGGAGAACGAAATTGAAAGGGTCAGCAATACGTTTCAAAGTGTCTGCAAATGGATTGAAAGGGGGACCGGTGGAAAACGGCCATAAATGAAATATTTGAAAGTTGGATTTCAGCCTGGGAAATGGTTAGGAGGAATAAGATAACTGTTGATATGTTCTTAGGAGGGTCCCATCTAAGGGTTAGGGGTATTCAAAAAGGTTAGGCAAAAACAAGGGCTGGGTTAGGGTTAGGGTAAAACCATAGATTTATGGCCGTTTTCTACCACATCCATTGAAAGGCTTCCAATCAATTTTTATATAATTCTGCATTAAATTAGAAAAAAGAAAGTATAACTTAAGTATAAATTTTTAGCATGTTTTGCACCTGTTTTCACAAAAAGAGTGTTTTGCTAGTTTTATTGCTCATAGGAAAAACATCAGGTATGCAAGTTTTTCAATAATTTTCTCTTCTACCTCTAGTTGTTTATCTATTATAGAAGCAAATACAACAGTATTATTAAATTTTCTTTCAGAGAGTTCTTATCAAAGTTTGTTCTTTACAAGATAATATTAGAATTCAAAAATGATGCCACAATGTTTTTCTTGCAAAAAGACAGAAAAGAAAAAGGGAAAATGCTCTCTTTGTAAGCATACTACTCATTGAATTTGTCTAAAAATCCTTCACAAACCTAACGATAACTCTGTTTTGTTTTTTTAAATGCAAAGATGCTAAAAAAATATATCTAGTATCTAGTAAAAAGATCTTGCCGAGATGTTTCACTTAAAGCAAGGGAAAGTATGACAAAATTAAAATTTTACTACTATTCTCATTGTTCCATTTGCTTAGGTCAGGGTTAGCCATAAATATCAAATGTATATATTTCTCAACTAAAAGTGTATTGAAATCTAGATGAAGATTTAGATCTTTTAAATAGAATTATGTTGTTTCTCAACTTTATCCCTTTCCTTTAAAATATATTTAATAAAATGTCCAAAAGTAAAACTATCATTTTTCATGTCATTAATATTCATATTCTTCTTGAACTTTAGGTCAGTTAAAGTAAAATCTTTTGTGAATCTCCCCTGATAAGGAAAAAATTTATGAAGACTGTGAAACAATACATTTTAATGAAATGATAAACCTGTAGAATTTTGAAATGTTGACAATGTCCACAATCAATTGACATTGAATTTTTATTGATTATGACAATTTCTTTACAGATTTGTTTTATGCAAATAAAATATTGACAGTTTTTAAAGAATTTTTCATTCATTCTAAAACTTTTGTAATGTTTATCAATATAAATTTCTTGTTGAATGTTTGTTACAATTCTTGCTAATTGAACAAATGTTTTATATATTAAAGCAAAATATGTATATTGTATCAAAATGTTTAAAAAAAAGAGTTTTAATTTCCTGAAAATTTTCTTGTTCTCTATTTTGCTTACCATTCGTTATTTTCTCATTTAATGATTGTCTATTAAAAAGAGAGAGAAAATTGGGAAAATTATTGAACATTTTTAAAAAAATAATAAATAAAAAACCAACATTGCCAGTGTAGACTTTAATTTGGAAAATTTTAATTTTAGTCGTATCTCCATTATGAAATAAATATATGGGTTAACAACAGCTGCTAGTGGCACAAGACATCCAATAATTGAATTGTAAATATTGTTGTTGATATTCAATTCAATGGTTATAGAAATAAAAGCTGAAATTGAAAAGATATCGGCTGAAAGAATGGAAAAACCAATGACAAACCTAAAATACATATTGGTGTCCAACATAACAGATAGGAAAAGACCAATACGTAATTGATTTTTGAAAGTGTTCTAGTGCATTTGTAATACTGATTAGTCATCATCTTCTTTCTTGAATAATTAATTGAAATGAACATAATGCCATATATGACAAATATCAGGATGCTAATTGGAAACATCATTACACCAAATATTATAAATGAATATATCCAGCCATCGCTTTTATCGCTTCTGATGTAGATATTTAAGCATATTGGTGTTTTTGAAAAGAAATCCTTATGAAAAAGACAAAATAAATCATACGTTTTCAAGTTAGAAAAGAAAGAAACGTAAAAAGTGGATGATGGTGGAGGTGTCTACTGCTTTATTGAAAGTAACGCTTTTCAATTAATTTAAGCCTATCACAGCCGCAAAACTAATATATTAGCAAACGGCAATGGAAACTTTCTCCAACACCCACCAAAATACTGGTACTGGAAATAAGATTGGTGGAATAATTGCAATCGATGCTGCTAGAAGAAATGCTAAACAAGAAATTAGATATTGGTATTCTTTAGCTTTACTAGTTTTGAATGGTTGTAAAACTATTTCCAGCCTTTCAATTGACATGAATAAAACATTAGTTATTGAAAAAATCAATGAAAATGACATAATTGATCCAAGTATTTGACATAGTAAACCCTTTCTCCAGTTTTCTTCCCTTTCTAAATAATCATCTCCTGAAAAGTATACGTCAGCAATACATATTGACATTGTATAAAACGATGATAAAAAATCAGCCATTGAAATATTGAAACGATAACTTCTAGACATTTGCTTATTCTTAAAAATAGTAAAAAGTATAGCAATAATATTGCTACAAACACCAGAAATGGAGAAACTCCAACTAATGAATCTCAAGATATTTGAATAGATAAAGGTGTGACAAGTTAAAAACAATGGCGGATTTGGTAAACAATCAACACTTTGAAAAATATTGTATTTTGAAATTAAACAACAAATTTGATATTGTTGACTTTGAACAATTCTAATATTTTTCAACCCTTTTACTGCTATTGTTAAGTGTTTTAAATGTATTTTTGTCATATTTAAATAGATTTCTTGCAGTGAGAAATGATTAAAAATATTGACATTCAAACTTTTTATTCTACAATTAATTAATTTCAATATTTTTAGTTTTTTTAATTTTTTCAAATCTTTTAAATTCAATTGAGTAATATTTGAAAATGACAAATTTAAAGATAATAAATTTTGGCAGTTATATTTAAATAAATGTTTTAAAACTATTATTTTCAATCAATTTTAATTCAATTACATTTGCAATTGATTTTACATTCCATTCTTTCAAATGATTATTCTTTTCTACTGAAAATACTATTAATCCATTTGAATTTAATTCTTTTTTGTATAAAAAATTTCCAGATATTGATAATCTTTTTATATACTTTGTTATTTGATTAATGATTACTGCAGGTACATTTCCTTTTAGGTTACATTCCATATTATATTTAGGATGAACTGTGCATTCTTTATTTGTAAGATTGTTTTGAGTAGGGTCAGGGTAGCTTGCATTACATAACAATTCATCAGAAGCTCTCCTACAGTCTACAATACCATTGCACAGTTTCTCTTCTGGAAGGTATAGGTATTCATTTTTACACTTAAAAAAGCCTTTGACTAAATTCATTTCATATTCATTTCTTCAATCCCTATCGCTTTCCCTTTTCTCCATAAGTAGAAGAAAATACATTCACCTTCTACTGTACGGCAGCTGTATTCGTCATCTCCGTATAAACAGTGATTCACTCCATCGCAAACATTTTCAATAGGAATGCAATAGCCTTCCAGATAGCATTTGTAATGGTTTGAGGAGCATTTTAATTCTTTGCACAAGTAGCTGTATGGTCTTGATATCAAGTGTCCCTTTCCATCAAATTCTATATCGCATTTCCAAAATTGTTCTTTGCACACACTTTCGGTGAAATCCGAAGAACTAGTTTCACACCCAGATTCGTCATACAAACAATCTGGAATTCCATTGCAACGAAGATGGTGTTCATAACACAATCCATCACAGACAAACTGACTATTCTTATTACATTCTTTATCATAGATAACATACTTTAGATTAGTGGAAAAATAATTAAGCAAAAGGAGTAGAAACCTTTCTTTACTTGATCAATTAGAGCATCGGATCTTTGACATATTTCATCAGTCTTATCAAAACAATCGTGACGACCATCACAAACTTTATATCTTTCGATGCATTGTCCATTATTGCACAAGATACTAGAGAATCGTAAAGACAATAGAGTAAATGAGAGAGAGAGAGAGAGAGAGAGAGAGAGAGAGAGAGAGAGGGAAGAAATAATATTCCTACCTGATTTTTGAATTACCGATAGGTTGATCTAAATTTGTTTAAATATGGAAAAAAAAGGTTGCTGTCAATTAGTGGAATGTTGGTTTTTGATTTTTTGATATTTTATTATACAAACTACAAAATTCTTCGTCAGAATTATCGAAACAATCTGATACATGATCACATACACTTGTATATTTGACAGTTTGATTTGTTTTAAAACATGAAAATGTATTCTGTTGTTGTTGTAAACAATCCTTTTCATCGTCGTTCGTCAAACAATCATTTTCACCATCGCAAACATAAATTGAATTGATACAAATGCCACTTTGTTCACAGAGAAAAAAGTCAAAGTTACATTCTATTTCATTTAAATCTTGTTTTGGTAGTGAATTTCTTAAATCTTTTGCTGGAAATATTAATTCAACGTGTTCTTAACTTGATTAAAAGTTTTTAAACAACTAACCATCTAAAGTATGACAAATGATAATATTATCCTTTAAACCCTGTTCAGAACCATAAAGAAATAAACTGTATGATGGTCCAGACCTAAATGAAGAGTTATTTAAATATTTAAATAAGTTAGCATGTTAGTTATTATTTTTATTAAATAGTTTACAAAATGTTGTATTCAAATTTTAAAGAATTTAATTTGTTGGATAAAGTTAAATGATTAGCAGAGTTTTCTAAAATTGGACATTTCATATCATTTTGTGGATAAAATTGATTGGGAAAAACTAGTTTAAGCATGTAACTACTACTAGTAACCATAGTCAATTGATTTTCATCATTTTTTCTATAATTTACATCTAAACAACAAGAAAAATTGTGAACAAAATTTCAATAGATTTATTTAAAATACTTGAAATCAATATCAATTCTTCTTCAGATTGATGATCCTTAGAATTGTGTTTTATATTACCAAATATAAAGGCTAGAAGAAGTTTATTCTTTGTTGGAAAATCAGTTAGTGTCAAATTCCTACTCAGACAAATCTTTTCCATTTCATTAGTTGAATATGATCTTTGGGAAAAGATAACAATATAGCATACATGTTCAAAATGGATCATTGTATCCTTTGGACAATTGATAACTTTTCGGATTGTTGTAATGTTTAAAGGGTTAGATAATTTATTATATTAGATATTGTTTAGTTAATACCTTTGTTTGTACATTTCATTAATAGTCCTTTACCATTGATCATGTGTTTTATCCTATTTTCAGGGTAAGAAGACAATGAGAGAGAGAGAGAGAGGAAACATTTACTTACTTTCCTCTAAATTTTGGTTGTAATTCACAATCCTCAAAATTAGTGTTTGTATTGTTGCATTTTATATTTGAAAGAGCAAAACTATAAGTTTCCTTTATGGGAAAATAACTTTCTTCGGAATGTTCATAAATTGTTCCAGAAATAAAACCAATATGCTTACAAATAACTTGAATTTCATGAAATCTTAAATTTTCAATAATGTAATATATGCTATTTTTTAAAATTTCAACTTGTCCAATCACTTCTCCACTTTGTTGTGGCATATTTAATTTTGGTAATACCTTGACAAATTGAAAATATGGCTCTAAAATATTTGAAAATATCTTTAAATAATCATTAAATAATCTTAAAAAATTACTAGAGCCTTTGTATTCCTTTCCTTTGCATATACATTTTTCTACAAAGCGTAAATTTTGTGTCCTTTCTCTAGATTTTTCAAAATTATTTTTTTAGCTGTTAGACACAAAACGGCGAGAATTTTCGGGGTGACCCTAATATATATATATTTATATAACCTTCTAATTCAGAATAAGTACACACAATTGATTTACTCAAGCCTTCCCTTTTACTATCAGTTATATTCATTGAGTAGTTACCATTGAGAATTATATCAACAGAAGTATTTTTAATATTCAATGGAAAATTAATTGCCAATTCACTCATTCTACACAAATATTTAGTTTGTTTAGATGAATTAATTCTAAATACATTATTCTTCCATCTTGCAAAAAGTTCATAAAAACCATTACCAGTTAAATGTTGTTTTGTTTATTTGAATTGCAAAATATTGCAAAACATGTTATTTAAGTGAGTAAAATATCTCTTTTAAATGTGCACTCAGTAAATATATGTAATTTAAGAAGATTACTATTTACATTTTTAATTAACATTTAATATGTAAAGTTTAACAATAACAAGACACCTATAATATATTGTATTACTTTTTAAATTAATATTATTAAGTCTAAACTATTTTTAAGGTTAAACAAAACTGAAAGAATTCTACAAGTTTGGTGTGTAGTGTCCGGAGTATGAAGAAAAGTTGTGTACCTAGTTGTATATGTGATTGTAGGAATTTCTGGCTCGTCACAATTATATTCATCTTTATTGTTATAAACAGTCAGAGTACTAAGCGCAAACAAAGAACTATAGAGTACTGTAACTTGCATAGATTAAAAAGATTGTGTTTGTAATCAGATACTGAAAAAGATTTTGAGAGATTGAGTAAAATTCTTACCAAGAGTTGTTGTAGAAGGTGTATATTATTCTCATTCTTTCAACTAGGCTAGTGTGGAGTAAAAATGTCTAGATTAACAGGAACTAATCACAATAAGTAAAACAAGGTCAGACAGAGAAGTTTCTCTTAACAACAAGAGAATAATATGCTTGAACTTTTTCCAAACAGTCAATGATCACGTGAATGATCACGTGAAAACATGAAGAGATGAGCTCTGTTCATACTGTTGTATGAGATTGAAAGATGAAAATCTGTTTGAAATCTTCCTAAGAAAAGATTAACCCTAACCTGAACATGCTTCGCAGTTATATAACCAGACCTTTAATTAATGAAATGTTTGTATATCATAAGATTTCAGGAGAAAAAAATCATTATCATTTCAAATTTTCTTAAATATAGGCCTACATAAATCTGAGGTGTTTCACTAGGAGGAGCCACAAGTCAAAAGATACAATAATCTACAGCTCAAACCAAAAAACACGAAAAGGAAATTAACATCGAGAGTAGTTTTTCAAATAGAATTATAAAAAAGAAATATTTAATTTAAATATTGAAATATGAAACACATAAAGCAGAAAATCACAACTCTCCAAGAAGTATTGCCTTGTCTCATAAAAATTTGGGGTTTCCGTTGAAGCATCTTTTCCTATCACTTTAGTTTTTTTGGGCTCTTTTGTCTTTTGATTTTCCAACTTGGACACCATTGTGATTGGTTTTTTCTGGGTTAGTTTTAACAAGATTTCTGCTTTCTCAGCAGCTTCATATAGTTCTGCCAATGTTTTACATCTAGGATGTAAGGTGTACACTAAGTGTAGAATATCCCCTTGTAATCCTCTTTGTAAAACTTCCATCAGTTTCATTTCTTTCATTGTTGCAATCAATTGTGGGTTCATTGGTCTAGGTGGAGAAAACCTTTTTATCAATTTCTTTGCCCTGTTAACAAGCTGAACCACACTTTCACCATTAATTTGCTTTAAGGTAAACAGTTTCTCCTGATACTCCATAGGATCAAGATCAAATTCGTCATGGAGGGCTTTCCATATTTCGTCTACAGTAGGCTCTCCATCAAGAGCTAACACCAAATCCCTAGCAGGATCAGTTAAATAATCTAAAAGATTTGCTTTCACGACATCTTCACCAACCCAACCATAAGAATAACATGCCTGATTAAAGTCTTCCTTGAATTTTGAACACTCCCTGCTTCCATCATACAACTTAAGGATAGTTATTTGGGGGCAGTCCCAAGCAGCCCTTAATGTTTGAATTAGTGTTGTGATATTGCTGGGGTTGAAGGATTAGAGTCTGTAATTACCCCAGTGGCATTTCCATTTCCTCCTTCTGCCATATTTACTTTCTCCAAATTTTTTAATAAACCAAAATAATAATTCTGTTAACTGTGCCAAATTTGTACTGCTCTTGCCTGGCCAATTTATGCATTTGTAAGTTACAACAATACTGATTCTACTCAAACCTTTAAACAAATGTTTAAATTAAAATGATTTATTCAAAATAATAATACTTAAGCAAGTAGCAATATGAGAGTTCAATAGCAGAGTAGATAGTTCATAATAGCAGGTTGCCAAACTATCAAACTGTCTTTCAATGTTGAGGAGTAGATGGATGGCTGCCAAATTGTGTAGTTCATATTTATGTTTAGTAACAGAATGTTACAAGGTTCAACATTTAGGAAGGTTAATTGAATTATAACTTGGCCATACCTTAACTGGTAATTAAAATGAGCCTTCAAGTTGACTAATCAAACCTGTGTTAGCATTTTCTTATTTTCTTTGCATAGGTTTTAAGAGGTACATGTATAAGTTGCATAGAGTAGTATAGTTCAAGCATACAGTATAACCAAAGTTGTACAATGCATCTTTTTGTAATGTTAAATGTAGCATCTAGAAGAGGGGTGAAACCATACTTGGTTGAAACTGTACCTAAAAAGAAACATAGTTAATTATTGAAGAAAATTGGGATTCAAATTTCTTTCATTGTTTGAATAAATATGTTTTTTTCAAAAATCCTGATAGACTTTTCAGGCATAGAAGGAAAAATTATTATAAAACATAGCTGTTTCATGTTATAACCTGACGATTGGCCAGTACTATATATGAAAATATATTGAGTTGTTAACACACTTCTGGAAATTCTTTATACGAAGGGATAGATATAGAGAGTGTAGCGTCGAATTATTATTGGATTAGGACTAGAGAATTGAATAAGATTTGTTTTGTTGTAACCGAAAAGGATTACCTGATGGATGTTGAATATAAATTTTCGGATTATGCACTTGATTATCATAAGATTCGACTTGGTTGTCCATACAGAGGTACAGTAATTTTGAAAACACGAGCACTATAAAATTTGCTCCAGAAAGTTTTCTTAGTCCTTTTGAGTACTTGAACACAGTTGAGTCGTATAGCAGGATGGAATCCTATAAAAATCTTATGAATGGTCAAACTGAGAATTCCTTGTTCAAAAATCAAATTACCCAATACATTCTCTCCAACACACAAATCTAGGTATAAGAAAACAATTCTCCACAAGGAGAAAATAGTAATATCTCAAATTCAAAGGGATAATACCAATGACAATTGGGTTAACACATTAAGTCACGATTGGAAGTTAACATGGGCTATTTCTATTACACAATAGTTAAATCAGTGCCGAAATGTCAACATCACCAATACAGTTGTTCGCTGATAGATGAGAGTGGTTTAATGATTAGTCATCAAAGAGGAGCGAAAAATCCTAATAGCATAGGTCATAATCAGCACATAATTTCATTAGAACCTAAGCTATCAACTCAGCTCATAGCTACAGAAATTCTATAGAAAAGCCAATGCTTAAACATCTTAACGTTGAGATATCAATTGTGCTGGAGAGTAAGCATTTTCTTTTCTTTCTCTCCAATCTGTTCAATATGCTTGAATTTATAGGTTACGCTTAAGAATGACAAACACCAAGGAAGATTTTTTACTATTCAAAAGATAAGAAGGCTATGCTGATTTCTTTTCATGATAACTGGTAAAATATTTGGATATTTTTGAAAGTATAACTTTATTTTCTAAATTTAAAAACAATAAAAAAAGTCAATTCATTAAACTTTTATTGAAAATTTTCACACTTATTTTCACCTATAGGATACCATCAATGGAGTGAAACTGTTTTTACCAGAGGGTTAAAGACTGCAAATTAATTGTTGTTTCGGGCTATTAGATGGGTGCTTGTCAAAATATATTAAAAAGGTCACAAAGGATAATGATCAATCGTTGCGCATTTGGCATGCTTTTCTGTTACTAATTTTAGTGTTAAGTTTTAAAATGAACTACACTTTTTTACTTGACACGTTCCAACAAAAAGATAGACACGTGTTAGTGTCTTAATTAGTTTTTGACAAGTACATTTATATAGTAACAGTAGTTACTTTCAAACTATTTCAGAGTTTTTCCTACAGACGTCTCTTGTTCTAAAAGAAGAGAAAAGAAAAGAATTATGAATAATTCTAGCTATTATCCCTCATTTCCAGAGATACCTAGCACGATGGACTGGTATATTGGGATTAGAGTTATTTCATCAATTTGTTTTATTATGGGTATTTTTGGAAATATTGCGAGTTTTATTATCTTCACCAAAAGTAAGATGAATTCAACAACAACGTCAATTTACCTTCGGTGCTTGGCGATTTCCGATATTCTTAGCTTAATATGTTGGTTCTTTCTATACATGTTTTATACAATTGAACTAAGGATCTTTAAGAATCATAAAGATATCCTATACTTTTCTTGTATGGCAAAGAATGCATTTGGCAAAATGAGCCAACAAACAAATACATTAGTACTCTGCGCAATGACTATCGATAGGAGTCTATTTGTACTTTTTCCAACTAAAGCAAAATCTTTAGCTTCAAAGAAACGTACATATTTTATAATATAACATTTTATCGTCTGCAGGCTATTCAACAATTTTTGTCATGTTCAAGAACGTGCTAATTGTTGATAATCCATTCAAAAATAATTCTGGACTATACTTTTGTCTAACTAGAAGTGAATCTTGGAAAGTCTATTTTGATAAGATTAATCCAACTTTGGAGATTGTTTTCATGCATTATGCTCCAGGCATTATTCTTCTTATTACAAACATTCTAATACTGAAGGCATTGATATTGGCTACAAACAAGAGAAAAGAACTTTCCGCAACTGCAAATACTAAGGAAGATACGAAAGGTCGAAATTCATCAATTATTCTTCTTATAATATCAACATACACCATTCTCTCTTCAATACCAGCAATAGCACTATACATCTATGTGAGCTATTATTTGAAGAATCCATCAACGGAAGATGTTGCCTTTTTGAAAAAAGGAGCCCTCCTGTCGGAAGTTACTGTCAAATCAAATTCCGCTTTCAATTTTTACTTTTACTGTTTAAGTGGAAGAAAATTTAGAAGTGAATTTCTCTTTTTATTCAAAAAGAAGCTAATTAAAGATCAAAATTCACAATTCAAATCAATATCAAAAACACAATCATCCAAGTAGCAGATTATCTATTTGTTTTGCTTTTTGGAGCATAATGTATTGCCTCATTTTTAAATGGATATAATACACTTTATAGAGTATACTTGAGCAAATTATAAACCTTTTTACGGCTAGGAAATACTCAATTTCATTTATTCTTACCGAAATTAAGGCTTAACGAAAGGTTAAGGACTAGACAGGAGAAATAACTTTATGCACTGTGTGGTTAGGCCTAACGTAAAAATTCAGAAAATACACATTTTTACTTGAAATTAAATGATAAGCTAATCATAGAATTTGGCAAACTGAATGAAGACTTATTTCTCCTTCCGGATAGGGTGTCAGTAATGTAGTATCAAATTGGTTCTTGTTCCGTTGTTCTCTGTCCCCTAATTCTGTCTTGAGGCATTGGGGTAAACCGTACCCGGGTTAAACCGTACCTATTTTTTATTTAATATACTGTATATGTTTATTAAACTTGTGATAATGAAATCTATGTTATACTGATACAATGTATATAGGCAAATATATAAAGATACATTTATCTAAAAAATTAAAAGAATGAAAAATGAAATGAAAAGAAAAAGAGAATATGAAATGTAGGTAAAATCTATGGAGCATATACAGTATATCAGATGTTTTTTAGCAATAATTCATCTGCTAATATTTTTCCTAGTTTGTATTCATCCCAAATGTCAAATATTTGTTTTTCTCTCTCCACATTCCTTTTTCCCTGATATCTATATTTTTGTTTATTAGACATCACCTTTTCATAGATAATCATCCACTAATATGTAGAATGAGCCTTTTGAATGCACTTGACTATTCATCCTGTTGTGCCAACCCTCCACACTATTATTTGTTCTAATTGATAGATCAAACACTGACCAATTTTCAGGTTTCCACATAGAATTACATATCCATGTATTTTCAAAATACAACAGTAGGTCAGCCAATTTCTATTGCTCCAAAAGTTCAGACTTCAGTCTACCAAATGTTGAAATGATGATATCAGATGGCAGAATACACACACATATATATAATATCTATATATAATATTAAGATATATATATTAAATTAACAATGGGTACGGTTTAACCCGGGTACAGTTTAACCTGGGTACGGTTTAACCCTGTAGTGGGTACGGTTTAACCCAGGTACGGTTTCACCTGCTCCCATATACCTTATCCTATTCCTATTGGTGAAATAATTGATTTAAACAAACATCTTGAAATAATTATACTGCAGTGCAACAATTTAATATCACAGGTTGAAGCAAAAGCAGTATTAAAAACACTTGCTATTGATATGATATTGGAAAAAAAATATTTCAAAACATCCAAGATCACTGTGAAAATTTAAAGGTACTTGACATTACCAACTGTTCTTTTGATGCCAATATCGATTCAATTGGTTGTAATTCACATTTGAAACACCCGAATTTACAAGAAAATGCATTTGGATCTGAAGTTGGAAAGGAAATTTTTAAAAATATTAAAGACCATTGTAAAAATTTGAAGATGCTTATTCAGCTGTTCTGTTGATGCCAATATAGGTTCTATTTTTGGAGAAGCAATGGTTTGTAATCCATATTTGAAAAAATTGTATTTGGTAGGAATGGAATTACGATCTAGTGTTGAAGAAGTAATTAGTGATAATATAACTGATGATTTTAATACAGTTCGGAAAGAAAATTGTCTAATTTTTTTTCTTTAACTTGAACATACCATTTGAGTAGAATTTTCCGACTTAATGCTTATATTCTATTTCATAAGAAATAGATTCTTTGACCATAATTGATGTATGTACTATAAAATGACAAATGTACATTCAAAAATATTCACATCAATAATGTTGTGTTAGGTGTGATATTTATACCAGATGCTGATAAAATAGATTAATTTTGCAGTGACATAATTTGGCCATATGGCTTTAATTTGTACATTGCATTTTAGATATGGCGTGTAACAGTCTTTCATGCTTGACAGAATATTTGTTACATGATAAATATGAAATTGTCACATTTCATCCTTGTTAACATGTGAGCATTAGAACCAAGCTTTGGTAAAGAATTTGTTCTAAAGGGTATAATTTGTGACACACTGGTGGTTCTATTTCAATTTATTTGATTACTGTTGTGAAGAGCCAGAAATTCCTACAATTAAACTACAACATAGCTCAAAAATGAAGATTTTATCAACCCTAGAAATGGTTAAAAGTTCATCCTAAACTTTTGCTCCTTGGGCAGTTTTCTCCTCATCCATTTTTATTTGTTGTCACTTTCTTTTTTTTTGAAACAGACAATATGATGACAATAATAACATTTTCACAGAGAAATAAGATGTGGAGAGAAATTGTCTCTCTAGATAAATTAAGAACAGATGAGGATGATATTGCTGATAATAGGATGTTATTATTTGCTCTAACACAATTAAAACAGATTGAAATGATAAAACACCTTCCAAGCATTATGAAATTAATTCAATAATATTCCATATATTGTTCGCATTGATGATGTTTTAATGAAGACTAAATTGAAAACATTGAAGTTTATTCAAGTTAAATTGGCTGATGATTTTGCTGATTAAATATCTCGAGAATGTCTTCTTATAGATGAGGTATACAATAGTTGGTCAACTTTAAATACTGCTATTGGATATTTAACAACTTTGTTGGATGTTAATGCAAATAAAAAATTAAATACATTTTTTAAAGAATTGTGCCTGAAAACTAACTACTTCCGAAAAACAGCAAAAGAGTTTTGTAATGTTGAGCATGTTGAAGATTTTTGGCATATTTTAGATAGACAACATGATAAATTATTAATTGATCATCCACTATTTAAAATTCCTGATGACACTCAACTATGTCAAGCCCATATAGTTGCTATGGAAAACAATGTTAAACAAAAGGCAAAAGTAGCTGATGAAATTGTTATTCACTTACATAGGGTTATCAATGAATATAGTGATGATCCAGATAATATGGAATATCCGTTTAAAGAAAACTTTATCCGAAGATGATTGGATAACCAACTTCCTAAACTAATCCATTTCACTTTCACACTATGGATCTTTGGTGGACATTTTAGTGTAATCATTAATATAGTTTTTGTTGTACAACTTTCTTTCTAAAGCAATATTACTTTGTGTAACTTATAATAATTTGAGTTAAAAACCCAAATTAGCAAAATCCTCTTTGGCCTTCACTTTTTCTTTGTTAAAATTAACATTTAATTTTTGACTATTCTACAATGAAATAAACAACCTGTTACTTTGCTTCATCATCTGGATAATGTTTTTGTAAGTTCTTCCCAAATGGCTCTTTAAAAGTCTACCAAAAAAAGTATACTTTAAATAAAAGTGAATTACTAATAATGTTATTGCAGAGAGAAGAGGAGCCTGTTTTAGTAGTGTATCTGTTTATAGTAATAAGTAAAGGAAAAACAGCTGTTTGAAGGAAGGATTTATCACATTTAAATTTCCATCTAAAAATCACATGTTAGCAGAAGATAGGAGTTGCAGTTGGTGGTTAGTTTCAAAAATTATCATTGTTTTGTCTTTTATTATGTATATCCTGTCTAAAATATCTGTTTGGAATAAATGAAAAATTTAACAGAAAGTCATTTTGAAGAAAAGAAAATCTTTTACTATTCTTTTGCTGCTGAAATTTAAATCCTTATTTGCTATTTCTTTTCTTTTCAACAATTTAAAACGAAATGTATTGTTATTGTGTTTGTTTATAAAAGATGTGTTTTCAAATGGGTTCTATCAATAATGTAATAAATAGTTATGTATTTACTTACGGTTAGAAATTATATCAACTTCGGTTAACCTTTCAATTTCATTCGAATCTAGTACTATAGATGTCGCTACAGTATTCAAATATTCAGTGCATAGGGTATGGCTTATTAAAATTGTATTTTCCACTTCTATTGTAGTAGTATTAACAATTATTGCTGATTTAGATAGTTCAATATTGATGACAGATGTTGATGTCATATTTAAAACTGTATACAAAATTTTTTATAGAATCACTTTAACTAAATAAAGAACAAGTTACTGTACCAGTTATACAGGCTAACTTGACAGACACTGAGGAAAATTCTATCTTTATCATTTCACTGGGAAGTAGGCTAACATAATTAGTAATTCCTTGAAAATAGTAAATATCATCTGTTAGAATTGCTTTAATATCATTGGATCCTTTAGTAATTGCCTCCACTTTATGTTTAATGTTCTCTTCTATAAACAAACAAAACACACAAAATAAGATTCAAATTTTTTAAAAACATTGACAGTTGACCCCAATATTATGATGGATAGGTGAATAATAGTTTTATTTAAAAAGGATAATATACTGAATTTCTGTGAAAACTCACTTGCACTTCTATTAGAATGGCCATAAATTGTTAAGCTACAAATATCCAACATATATACATTTCTTAAACCAGTCTTATCATAAGAATTAATTAGCAAGTAACTTCCGGTGATAGATGAATTTGTAAAGAATGTGTGTGTTGCATGATTACCATTAAAACTTGAGTTATAATCCTTAACAAGAAAATTTGCCTTGGGATTAAAAATAGTTTGAGGTGAATCACTGATAGATATGTAAATATTTTGGAATGTTGCAGGAACATCTGAAAAACAAGATGGTTATTTATTTGTCCTTTCTTTACTCTCTCTCTCTCTCTAACTCATTACCTTTCTTCTCTGAGGCTAAAATGAAAACTCCTAAAACATCTACTTGATTTTGGAAATTTATTCTAATAAAGAGGTCTGATTCTGAAATTTGTTGAAATGCTGTTAAACATTCCGTGTTAATAAGATCAGTTATGATAAAATCTTTGTGGAAACTTTTGAAATTTGATGAATTGATGACTTCATAATCTATAAAATAAACATTTATTAATAAAAATTTAAGTCATCCAATGAAATTAACAAAAAGATATTTTACCTCTCTCCTCAACAAATTCCCCATAGACTTTTACATCACAAAGTGTTAGAATAGCATTGTTAACTTGATTTATTTTTAGAAATGACCCAATAGAATTTGATAGACAATTGAAACATTCATAATCATTAACAGTGTTTGCTATTTTTACAGAAGTAGTCTGAGTAGCTTTACAAATATTTTCGTGTTGATCATAAAGATTTTTCTTAACAGTTATATTAAAGTTTATCAAACGTTCAGCTATATAGATAAATGATTTTTTTAAATATCCCTATCTATCTATCTATTGTATTAGTTTACTTACGAAACACTTCTCTATTTAACAAACAGATTCTATTTATGTTGTAACTTTTCTTTAAATCTGCCATCCACCAACCATAACGTGCGTCGTGACTGGTGTGAGTGCAATAGTATTTTTGACCAACATAGCCAATATGAATAGGATAGTCATTCCCTCTGTAAGCCCAGTGACCATCCCAAGTAGTACTTTGAAAAGCTGGACCATTCCTTATTAGATTACCTTCCTCAGCATACTCTACACAAAGTATTGTTACTGTGGGAAAAAAAATTCCAGCGTCCCTCACTGATTACCTTATTGCTAATGATTAATGATATTCACCTGTCTGATAAATTAAGATGAGAAAGTAGACGACGTCTTTCATTTAAATTTAGGTAGAACGAAACGGAGATTAATCTAAAATATATACATATATATATATATATATATATAACAATGATAAATTCAATTGTGGCGACCAACTGCAACCTGCTTAGTCATTTATGAAAAACGTATGAAATAGTGAATAATACATTTAAAAATCTAAATTATAGATTGATGAAATATGTTATCATGGAATTCTTTGAACCTAACTAATTCATCCTACAATCTTAAATTTGTAATATCCTTTTTCTAGCTGTTCAATTTTCTCAAAATGGCAAAATCTGTTCAATTATTTCTTACTTAATGACAATAACATCAATTAATTTATCAAAAAAATGAACAGAGAAACTTCGTTAATAAATAAATTTTCATTTGTTGATTTGAAAGAAAAGAATAATAAAAAACTAATACAGCTGTTAAATAATAGAAATAAAATTTAATATTAATAATTTGATTGATTATTTTGACCATAAACACTAATTACATTATTTATATTTTCGTTCTGGAATGATTGATAGAAATGTTGAACAATTGTAAAACTAATATTATGTAATAAGCCTCTTGAATTGCACCTTTACCTTGGAATGATGATCAAGTAAACATGTAATTCTTTTTATCTTTAACTTTATCTGCACAATTATTGAAAAATATTCTTTGACATTCTAAATTATAAATGAAAAGAATGAATACATCAATAGAAACTTATAAATAAACAGAGCTTTGGTTCATTTGCAAGTGACATATTCCATATGAAATTAATATTGAAACATTGGCGCTGTTAGGAAATGTCCATGAGATTAGCTTAAGAGTAAGGGAAGAGGAGATAGGTAGCAACTAAAGTAATGGTTTGGTCAGCATTGATCCTTGGAGGGTAGCATTTCATCTGAATGATGGATATTCATTTGTTGTTATGCATAAAATGCATTCAAGTACAATCTTGGTGTGTAGTGTGAGGAATAATAAGAAAAGTTGGCTATCTTGTACAAATATATATATATACAGTATATTCGAGGTGTTTTCACTAGGGGGAGCCACAAGTCAAAAGATGAAATAATATTTCAAATTTTTACTTTTTGTTGTATTGTTCAAATACAAAAAGATTATGACTTTAGGACGAAAATATTAATTACTATAAATCTTTCCCAACTACTTGACCAAATATTGGTTGCATCCCTATCTATATTGTTAACCCTTGTGACCTAATCTTTTCCATTAGGCCAAATCGAAACAAAGGTTAATGTTTAAATGCTTATAAAACTGCACACCAGCGATTATTCTACTCTAAAAATAATGAATAATAAGCAAAGAGATAATTTTTCTTTAAGTTTTTATTTAATAATTGTATTCAAATAATTTCCATAAATTTGAATATCATTAAAATTTAATGCTATTGCATACTGAAATAAATCGTGGTAGTTAATATAGAATTTCCATTTGTTTGAGTTTTGCTACAAAAAAATACAAAAAATGATCAAATAAAATATAAGAGAATCCTATAAAAAAACAAGGAGAAACTAACAGTAAAATAAATATTCAATGTCTTAAGATTACTTTTAAAGTTTAATCCTACTGTTTGAAATTTTGAAATACAACATATCAATTGTTTTGAAAGTGAAAGTGCCAATGTCAATTTTCTTCTATATTTCAAGTTTCTATTATTAAAATGTTTATAAGTATTAATAGATGATACATAAACATTATTTGATTTATAGTTCAATAAGAGTTGACAAACTAGACCAAAGGAACAAAAGTTACAATTACATATAGAATAATAAATAAAGAAAAATAAACAAACATACATTGTGATTGAATTTTTCTTCTTTCTGAATTTAGTAACAATTCTCTATAAAAAATAAAGTTTTTTTTGTAAAATTTAATACAAAAAAGCTGTTTCTCTAATTTTACAGGTTTGCAGTTTCATTAGCCTTTGAGATTTTTCTATGATATGTCAATGAATTTAGGCAACTAGAAATAGCATAAATAATTGCAAGTACTATATGTAACATAAAGACAATGAGGGAATGATAAATATTATGCAATTGGTAAGTATCTTCAATAGATATTATATCTGTAATAGAATTAAAATGTTAGATTAGGAAGAATATGAAAATTTCAAAAAAAAAAGAAAAACAAATGAAACAAACTTGAGAGAAATATAAAAGTTGAAAAACTGACATTGCAAACAGTACTTGGAAATTTTATAAATTGCTTTTGTGTAAATTTTAACATGACTGATAGACAGAAAATGGTACAAAATAGCATTGAAATCAGACAATTGATTGTAATGAATGAATATATATCTTCAAAAATATTTGTTTTTAAACTTGAAATAATTGGTGTACATAAGACATTTCTTGAAAAGTAAACATCAAATGAAATCAATGGAATTAGCGAAATGATTAAAGAGATTATAAAGAAAATGATAGCAATGATATAATATAATGATGTTTTAGTTAAGTATTTATTATGCAAGAAATGGAAATAACTGTTTAATAAGATATACTTATTAATTAATATTAATGCTATTAATAGATTTGAATATATAATTGATGTTTTAGCCATTAATCCAAAAAATACGCATTGGAAGCCTGTTCTCCATTCATAATCGTGATTTATGTAGATACCTCTATATCTGGAATTTGTTGTAACAATCGATAATATATAACTACTCAATATTATATTTGATATAAAGAATAATTGATAAAATGCTTTTGAAGGCGTTTGATCAAGATTTGAAAGACAAACTGCAAGAAAATTTGCCAACATTCCAACAATTCCTATTACCCAGAGTAATAATATTAAATATCGATTATTCAGCATATTTGAACAAGTATAGAGTACATCAGAATTTGGTTGACATTCAGTTAAATCAAATTCAAGTAAATTAACAAAACAACAAAGTGAATATCTTTGTGAATTTATTACTTGAATAGAAGTTAAATTGCTTAAAAAATCTTTTGATAAAAATAATGGAAGTTTAGTTTTATTTAAAAATAAATAATTTAAATTAATTAATTTTGATAAAGAATTTTGATGAATTGTTTGAATTTTTGAATTCATAATTTTTAAAATTTCAAGTTTTATTAAAAACGATAATTGATATTGATTGATAGTTTCTATATGACTTTTTGATAAATCTAAATATAATAAATTCTTTGACATTTTAAAAAGTAACACTGGTATTCTGATTAATGGATTATCACTTAAATCCAAATATTGTAATAATCCATAATCCCATAGACTACTTGATGATAATCTCTTTAATTTATTTTCTTTTAATATTAAAATAACTAGATTTTTTGTTGAGAATTGTGGAATTTCTTGAATTTTTCCATTTGTTAATGATAAAAAATGCAAATAGTTTTCCAGCATTAAATTAATTTCAATAGATTTTGTCTTTGAAATTATTGATAGATAGGTTAATGGAAATTCAAATTTTAATGATAAATAATCAGATTCTTCTTTCATTCTACAATCAATTAATGAATATTTTTCGCAATTACAATCCTTTGGGCAATTAGAAATTTCTAATTTATGACAAAATGTTTCATCATTTCCCAATTTACAATCAACTATTCCATCGCATACTTTATTCAATTCAATAAAAACTGTTTGGTTTTGACAACTAAATGTTGATTGGGGCCTAAAATTTTTACAATTAAATTCATCATCTTCATAATAGCAATGAATAACACCATCGCAAACATTTCTTATTGATATACAATAATGTTTTTCGTGGCACTGATATTCTCCAATTGAACAAGTTGTATTAAAGCAATTTTCAATTTCATAGTATGGAAAATTTCTAGCCGTTTGAATTTGATTGAATGAATTATAGTATAATTTACATCTTGTTGGTGAATTTTCACTAGAGTAGTTTAAAGCTTGTCTAATGTGAAGAGCGGGAAATTCTGTTTTTGTAGTAAAAAATGTTTTTCTTTCTCTTGAAGAAAAAAAAGGCAAAAATTATGTTGTTCAAAAAAGATGTTGAAAAATTTCCCTCTCACTTTCCATAGATTGATTCAACTACTGATTCACTGTGAAAGGAGTAGATATAAACAAAAATTGATCCAAAAAAATTCAAATAATAACAATAACAAAAAGAACATACTATCCCCTTTCAATGCAATCTTTCACATACACTTCAGTTTTATTTTCTAAATGACAGTCAGTTTTCAAAAAGCATTTATCTTTCTCATCCAAACAGTTGTTATTGCAATAATGAGTTCTACATTTCTCTAGTTATTTTTTAATTATGATATTTAATACAAAAATGAAGTATATTTTAATTTTTTTATCTTCATTTCTTTACCTCTACAAATTTCTCCTTCATCACTACCATCAATACAATTTTTATCATTATTGCATAATTGTTCTTTTGGTATAAATTGATTATTTTTGCATTCATAACTATTTGCAATATTGATATTTTTTGAAAATATATAATCTATGTTTGTTTGTTTTTTTTAAAAAAAAGAAAGAACTGTTTTAATAAGTGTATAAGAATATTTTGTAAGAAAAAACAGAATTACAAAGGTCACCCTAAACAACAAGACTTAACCCAAAATTTCACAACAAACTTACCACAATACCATTCATCACTTCCATCGGGACAATCTTTAATATAATTACAAACAAAATTTAACTGTAATTCTGTTTTATCATTGCATTTAAATGTAAAATTAGCTTTTTGGCAATTATTTTCATCTGATTTATCCCAACACTCATAAGATCCATCACAGACATTTAAATAGTTAATACAATATTTTGAACTCTGACAAGTAAATAGCCAATTTGGACATTTTTGAGTTTTATCAATAAATAATCTTGAATACCAAAGTTGTACATTGTTCCTTTCACTATTAACTAACAGAAATATGTTTTATATATATAAATATAGATATATTCAATTAGGAACAAGTTTTTTTAATTACTTAGTGTTGTCTCGCAGAGAAAATGTGTAAATTTATAATTAGTTTTAGTTTCACAATCGTATTCTACAAACTTAAGAAAAAAAGTATAAACCAAACATCTTTTACTTTGATAGTTTTTCTTTAAAACTTGATTCACTGTTATTTTAAATGTTTTTATTGTATAATTTAATGTAGTTTTATAATATCTGGTACAAGCAAACAAACAAAGTGAATATGTCAGAGTGAATTAATAATAGAAACTCACTCATTTAGGTCATATTCTTCTTGATTAATTTCTGAAATGCTTCTTGAATGCATAGCTAATAAATTAACAGAATGAGAATAACGAAAAGGTAAGTATTCAAGATATTCTTAAATTTATAAACTTACTTAATGGAGCTATTTTTCTTTGAATTCTATCCTGATTAAGGTAAACATTTTTTGCACTGTATGTTACTATAAGGCGAAGATCTGTTAAAATTTGACGTTGTGCCAAACTACTTATTGTTAACAAAGTCATATTAAATCGATTGCAAAGTTGAAAGGCTTGAGAAACATCAATTTGAAAAGTTCCAAAAAATTTTTCAATATCCAATGGTAAAACTATTTTGTAACATTTTTCATCATATGTTATATAATCTTCAGGGCAATCTATGTATTTTATTAAGTATTATTAGTTTATATTGTCTCCCTCTCTCTACTCAAACCGTCTATTTGCCTTTTAGTTAGATAGCAAGTTATTTGTGTTTGTGGATGCATGGAATCTTGAATTTCTTCAAATGTACATTGTTCTAATTCTGTAAAGTTTACTGGACAAGCAAGATTAACAGTTCGAACGCGAGGTTTACTAACAAAAAAACTGAATTTAGCATATTTATATTCAAAATATTGGCAAATTTTCTGAAAATTTCGTTTTTAGAACATTAGAACAGAGAGAGAGAGAGAGAAATTGAACGTTACTTCTACAAATCTATTTACAAACCATTTTGACATAACAACTGTTGCCGGCACATTGTATCTAAATATTTTCAATTCGCCTGTCAATTTTTCTGGTTTTTTAGCTGAATTTTTAAAATGCATTTGTGATCCTTGATCAAGTATAAATATTTCATCTGTTTCAATGTTTTATATATAGAAAATTGATAAATAGACATTAAGAGAAATAGTTTGCCATTTGTATTTATGACCTGGTTTTCTGACAATTGTATCATTTACACATTCAATTTCGCAAATACTTCGACCAAAATGGTTTAATTGACTACATTCAAATATTGAATTACTATCTTTATTGCAGTGAATGGATAAGTATGGTGAATCTAAAAGATATTTAGCTGGGCAGGAAAAGTCAAACTTTTTGTAATTTACATAATTAAAATGTTTGCAAATATAATAGCCAACGGAAGGAACATTGTCAGCTTCCAGGTACAGCATACCATATTTTTTGGATAGAAGTCTAGGATAAAAAATATTTTTGTCTCTATCTGGATTTCTTTCAGATACAAGAGAATAAATCCTATGATCTAAAAAGTTTTTATCTTTTCCTTCAAATTAATGACAAAGGTATTGATTAAAATCTCTTTTTTGATTACCTAACATCTCATTTAAACAATAGACTTTCCTGCTTTCATTTCTACTGCTATTAAATCTTCTAATTGTCAAATTTCTTATATCTCCATAAAAAGCAAATTTAGGTGTAACATGCTTAAATATCATATCCCATACTATATACAGCTCACGACAAATTTTTGTCAAATTTTCTGACTTGTTTGGTATATAAATATGAGATCTAGCTTTATATCTCACTTGAACATAAGTAGCAGAAGTTCTTTGAAATAGAACTAAAGAATGAAAAAAAATAAGAGAAAAAATAAGTCAGAACAAAAAAGCAGCAAAATATTTAAATATTTTACATGGTATATTCCTTTTATAGCAGCCGATTCTGAATATATCATACTGATGCCAATGTTCTGTGCATCTACCATAATGTCTTAAAATAAAAAGAAATTGTAAAATTTGTAAAAACTCTTATTTAAATAAAGATTGCTTACATCATCACTTTACCACTGATATAGCTATAATAAATATATGAAATCCTTTCCTCTAAAAGAGAGACAAAGTGAAAAGGTGATGTGCTTGATGATAATGCAGAAAAATTGATCATTACTCTTAAATGTTGTGTATTGATTTGGCACATTTACATTTTGATCAAAATTTGGATTTCTTGAACATAACTTTAAGCCTATTCTATAGAACATGCTGTAAGAGTATTTATTTGATTCAGTATCTGCTATAACTACAAAAACAGTTGTATTTCTTGATTGTTTAAGCGAATACATAACATTATAAGTGATAATTTGTTCATTTTCAAAAACAACATCACCAAATACTAGACTTTTAAAAGAAGAATCCAAAACTTCTCAAGGCAATAATTCACATTTAGAATTTTGAATTATGTTTAACGAAATATATTTAAATAATATTGAAATAATTAATATTCTTAAATGATATGAAAAAAACATATTTTCCAAAAAGAGAGCAAAAAATATCTAAGCAGTTGAAGTAGAAAAACATAGATAAATGAACCAGAATTAAAAAAAAACATGACACTTATTTTTTAAATTCAATTATTGTAATTTCTTAAAAACATATTCAAATAAATTCAAATAAACTTTTGTATTCCCTTGAGAATTATAATCAATTAACTTTCTCTTTCTCTGTCTGTCTGTTCTCTATGTATTTGTCTGTCTATCTATCTATCCATCTATCTATCAATTTCTCTTTTTGTCTGTTATTCATTTCATCAATTGCTATAATCAATGAACACTAAATGAACACTAAGAAGAGAATCATGACAAAAAAAGTTGATAATTTTTGCATAATATATGAAGAAAAATTAAGATTAGCACAAAAATTTCAATTAAAGATTCATGATTCACTCTTTTCAGAGTCGTAATTTAATTGGAAAAAGAAAATTATTCTAATGTTCTTTTAAAGGAGAAGAAGAAGAAGAAGAGGAAGAGGAAGAGATAGAAAAGATTTTTATTCCCTATACATTTTATTTTTTTGAAAAGTAATGTTGGTTTTTGTCTCCTTTCTCATTATACTTAATGAAATTGAATGTAAATCAAAAAATTTATGTTACTCTGTGAAATATTATCCAAATTATCATTACAAAAAATTAACAATGGGAAAAACAATTGAAGACACTCCTTCCAAGATAACAGCTTTTATTGTTTTAAAAAGTAATAGCAAAAGAATTTATAAAATATTACCTGATGCAAAATTTTTGAAAAAAAGAAGCAATTATGATATTATTGGAAAGCATGTATGCAAAGCGAATGGATATGATGATATGTTCATGATTATTGAGAAGCATTTTGAGGAGACAAACAGTAATTGTTTTATTCAATTGATATGACAAAAAAAATGGTACACCAATAGCCATTTTCCGCCATATTTCATTAATGAAAAAAACTAGATAATATTAAATATCTTTCTGTTTAATTAATTAAAAATTTCATTTAAATAGCTGACAGAGTTGTTAAATTAAAAAGACAAGCAGTATGTTAAAATTGCCTTTATAATAAAAATAATTTGCTGTTTTAAGTACCATTTATTTTAGTTTTCTTTTGCAGTGGCTAAAAAAAAAAAGGCTTCGAATTTTAAAATCTAAAGGTTGTTATTCAAAGACCAACTATAAGCATACATTCAAAATTACTTGTATGAAAATCAACAAAAAATGTAAATGAATTAGAAAAGTCAAAAACAAAACGACAGTAACCAGTTTAAATTTTCTTTTATTACACTACCAGATTTCTATAGTTGGAAAATAGAGAATATTTTACGCGGCAAAGGTCATTTTAATAATTCGTAAGATACTTAAGAAGAAAAGGAAAGTTAACTCTTTATTTTACCACCAGGGTATAGAGAAGAGGAAGTAGACCTTGCTGCAGAGAGAAAAAGTTATTTTATATTTGTAAGATATATGAAAAAAAGTTATCTTTTGGCAAAACACGAGAACATATCTGTAGAAAATATATGCACTAAAAAATATCATTTACTATTCGATGGTAGAACGAGTGGATATCCGCGAAAAGGATGTTACTATGGTAACGAGACACATTATCGAATTGATTCCAAAATTTTTATTAAAAATTGCATACCATATCAAAGATGTGATGAAAATCAGGAAGGTATTTAAAGGTGAATCTATTCACTTTTGCCCCATTAGCTCTTCCTTCCTTTTCTCTAGATATGAACTTAAAAGGATATACATTCTTAAAAAGTAGAAAAAACAATAATACTTTCTATCCTCTGATTAATTCAAAAAAATATGGAAGTTTTTCAATTTATCTGTCAGATATGATGTTAAAAAAATTAACAGAGATTCTATTTTGTAAACATTTGAATTTTACATCAATTAGCAATTATGAAACCTATAACATGAACAAATGTGACTTAGGATTGCAATTTACATCAAATGTTAAAATTTTCTCTCTAGATTGTTCTAATGATGTTAAATCATTGGCTGATTGTATTTTTGGTCTAAAATCCTCTACTATTTCTCTGGCAAAAAGTAGATTATGTGTTATAACTTGTGAAAATAGATATATAGAACAGAAATTTCGCTTTGTACAAAACAATTTGGATATAGTTTATCAACATAGTCACAATGGATTATCAAGTGTACGAGGTCATATAGAACTAAACTTTAACAATTTTTGGGTTAATATATTAGTTTCTCCCTTTGCCAGTAGAACATTACAGGTATTGAAAATCAATTTTCCCTGACGGTGAAGTATAGGCTTTGGTAAAAATTCATTTTCATTAATCAATGCCAAACTGAAGTTTACCACAAAAAAAAATGAAAAATAGGGAAAGATGTTGTACAGCATCTAGTATATATATTTAGGATATATAAATCCCAATGGAATATCTTCAACTTTTATTTTGTGAATGAATATGAAATTTTTCCAAATCTTATCCAAAACACGTCTATCACTCTTTATTCTTTTTTAGTTAATATATAAAATTATTTAAAAGAATGTTTTTCTTTTGTTTTTTAAACAGTTAGTCTGTAAATATTTCAACTATAGACATTCAACTTTTCTGTTTCATAATAACAAAAAAGTTAAAAAGCATATTCCATTTCTGATCAATTGCAAAAATTGTACCAGTTTAGATTGTTGTGATATTACTGTAGATGTAAAACTGTTAGTTTATAAAAAAGGAGATACTCAATTTGACATATCTTGTCACAATAATGCAGAAATATCTGATGGTTGGTATTTAGTTTTTTTCACATTTTTTTTTAAAGTTTTAAAATTTTAAAAAAAAAAAAAAAGAAGTTTGTTCTAATGAAAATGATATAAAGTATAATGGAAGATGTTATTCTATCCATATATCTGGAAATATATCACATTTGTTTGAATCTTCATTGAATTATAATTATTTTGATGATGTCTACACAAGACAACAGATAAATCAAGTTTGCAAGCGAGAAAATAAGATTGTCTTTAGTCCAGATTTAATGACTGAAATATCTTTAATTAATGAATTATTCAAGCTTTTACTTAAAACATATAGATCTACAGCAGAAATAAATGTTCCATTAGGTAGATTGATCAAAAGATTTCAATGTCAAATAATTTTTCTTTATTTTGACCAAAAGAATATCTTGTGCCCAGAGAAATAAGCGGAATGTTTGGCTACCTTCGATTAGAGTAAAGTTATTGATAATATAAAATATATAAGGGTTTAACAGGGAAAAAAAAGGGATGTTGTTGAAAACGCCCACAGTTTTACAGTTTTACCCTAACCCTAACCCAGCCCTGGACCCTGTTTTTAGGGCTTTATTGTTCCTAAACCTTAGTTTGGACCCACCTAATTACAAACCAATTGCTTAAATACTTTTCCTAACCTAATCCCAACCCAAAATCTTACCCCAAAAATACACCAAAATGGGCGTTTTCAACAGCCCCCCAAAAAAGAGCATCCCACTGTTGGGGTCAACAACATCCGAAATGTTTTATTGAACTGATCAATGTTACGGTTTTTCATATCTTTTTTTCATACCAATGGGGATGGTTTTATTTCCTAATCCTATAATTTCTTATCAACTTTTTGATATTATAGAGAATTTACGGAAGCAAAGACAATTGCTCTTACTGGAATAGAATACCATTTTCGCAATCTCGACAAGTCGAGAGCAAACGAAAACCGCTTTCATATGAATGCTTTAATATCTAAGAGTATAAACTGTAAGGATGACAATGAATTGAAATTTTTGGTGTGCGAACAGTCGCTTTGTAACTAGACAAACAAAACTTTATTAATCTTCATTTTAAATATTCTGTTTTAATCTTCCAGATAACCAGAATAAGAACACTGAATGGAATTACAATGTATTATCTTTACCAGAATCCTCTAATTGTCCTTTAGAACTTTTCACTTGTCAAACGTACAAGTTTTGCGTAAGTATGCTAGATATTTGTGATGGTGACAATGATTGTTACGACGGAAGCGATGAGAGAGATTGTTTAAGCATGTACAAGTTTGTTTGTAAAAGTGGACAACAAATATCTGCCCAATTTGTGTGTGATTTTTCTGCTGATTGCGATGATAAATCTGATGAATTAAACAGTAAAAGAAATTACCAAAACAGTCATCTTACTACAAATCAGTAAATGTTTTTTTAATTAAAAAATAACTAATCATTAATCATATCCTTATCTTATCAAATAGATTATTTATATGCCAAAATGGTCAAAAGATACCGAAAATCTACGAATGTAATAATGTTAGAAATTGTTATGACAATAGCGATGAAAGTAGTCAATGCGAAGGTTTTTGAATAAAATATCTAGTATATCCATGACCTAATTCTGTTTAATAGAAAGATGCGAGACTGGCACATTTTGTGAAAATTACTGTGTGCGAAAAGAATTTAAATGCGATTTTCATCCTGACTGCACTGATTTATTAGATGAAAGTGTAGTTAAATGCGATGATCGAAGTTTATATACTGAACAATTCTTGGAGAGAATTAAAAAACTTCCACCAACAACTGCCTATTGTACATTGGAATACGATTCATTTGGGAGGATAGTAACAAGGGCCGGATTCCCTTTGTATCAATTAAGTCATTGCGCAAATGTCACATGTAAAATTGGAGAATATAAATGTCAAAAAAAAGGTTTTTGTATCCCTTTGGATAAAGTTTGTGACAAAGTATTCCATTGTTTGGAAGGAGATGATGAAATAAATTGCGGTATTGTATTATTATAGGCCTATTCTATTTAAAATCGTGTCAATAAATGTATATAGAAACATTTCGACCACATGCAACATTTCTTTGTAAATACGATAATATTTTTCTAAATTTGAGTAAAGTTTGCAATGGAATTCTTGATTGTAAAAGTGGTCATGATGAAATATTTTGCTATAATTATGCTGAAATAAAATGCCCAAATTTATGTAATTGTCAAACTTTAGCAACAATTCAATGTTCAAATAGAAATGGTTATAAATTGAATGAAATCAAATTTAATTTTGGTATGAGAAAACTAATTATAATAGAATTTTTTGGAGAAATATCTATATATCTAATGGAAAGTTTAACATGAACACAATTAATTTATCAAAGTAGTAATATTGAAAAAATTCCCAAGTTAACAACATTAAATCTGATAGTATTGAATTTAAGAAACAATAGTATAAAACAATTAACAGCAACAGATCTTGAAAATTATGAATCACTCCAAAATTTTGATATAAGTGAAAATTTATTTGATAAAATTCCAACTGAATTTTTTTCACCAACAATAAATATAATTTTTTTAAATTTAACAAAAACAAAATTAACAATAATTGATAATGAAATATTCAGTTATTTAGTCAATTTAAAGACATTAGAAATGATGAATTGCAAATTGAAAACTGTTAGTAGTAGTCCATTTGAAAAATTAATAAAATTAGAAAATTTATATTTGATGAATACAAAATTACCAAAAATTTTAAATTTAAATATGATAAGAAATTTGAAATCATTAAAAAGATTATATTCTGAAAGTTTTCTTTTATGTTGTATGGCAAAAAAGTTCAAGTCAGAAAATAAAGTGGACTGTATACCAGACAAATCTGTCATTAAAATATGCAAAGATTTAATTGGATCTCAATCATTGAGGATTGTAATATGGATTATTATATTTTTGGGTTTACTTGGAAATTCTTTAGCCCTATATATACAATTGAAATCTTTTAAACCATCTTCAATATTCTACCTATTTCTTCATAGTTCTGATTTATTATTTAGTTGTTATCTCACAGCTATTGGTATAACTGATTTATACTATAAAGGCAATTATATTGAACATGATACTGATTGGAGATTTGGTCCTTTATGCACAATTTGATTTCAATATCTATATCACTGGCTCCTTACTTTCTATTTGAGGTAAGAATAAAAAAATATACATGCATTTTCAAGTTCTTATTGTAGTTGTTGTTTGCTGTAGTTGTTTACTTCTTTTAGGATTATTTCTCAAGATCTGTTGTTTGCTTCTCACTTCACATTACATCAGAAAGAGCAAATGGATGGCAATATTCATTTGCAACTTTTAGCCCCCTAACATTTTTCCAATTGATAATTATAATATATTTTTATATTGAAATAACAAGGGAAATTTGGAAATCAAAAGATATTAATAGAAGCCAATTTAGAAAAAGAATACTAAATATCATAAAGACAAGTTTGATAATTGTTTTAACAAATGTTGTTTGTTTTATTCCCATTTCAATTTTAGGTTAGTTTTGTATTTCTTTCATAAAAACTGGTAATACAAAGTCTTTTCTGTTCTTTTTTTTAAACTAGGATTTGTGGCTTTGGATATTAATCATCAATTAGATGAAGGATACTATCCTTGGTTTATTATACTGATTGTACCATTAAACTCTCTCTTTAATCCATATATCTATTGTACAGCAACACTAATAGAATTTTTGAGACAAAAAATCAAAAAAAGGCTTAATGCTGTCAACATTTTGTAAATATTATTTTTCCATGGGCATGAGAGAAAATGTCCTAACCTATCCCATTAGTTGGCAAACTTATCTTCATTATCATCTTCTTAACTGTTAATTTAACCCTATACCCATTGAGGACATTTTCTCCCAATCCCTTTTTTTTATTATATACATTTCTTATACAATATGTAAACAAATTTCCATTTTTAGACATAAATTAATTATTGATGCAAAACATTCTGAAAAAAAGAAATGTTAGTAAAAACTTTTAGTACCTTTTTTCTTATTAACAAAGTTTCGTTTTTTTTGTTCAAGTTTTAAAATTTCTATCAGAATTGGATAATGATGGAATAATATTTGATGCTCAGAATAAATTTAATACACATGAAATTTGTGCTAAATATACTGTAAATCTATTAACAATTTGGAATATAGCAATCAGCATATGTAATGGATTGCTAAACGCCCATTCATTGAATTTAGGCATAAATGATAGAAAAGAAATATGTGTTTTTTCTGGGAATTTAAACTGTAAAAAACAAATACCAATATTTCTCTTGGCTTTAACTGATATAGAAAGTAGGAAAGATTGCTCTCAAAATAGTCAAGATATAATGAAATTTGGGAAACTTTTAAGAAAGTATATTTCAAATTATTCCCTACCGAAATAAAAAGAAATTGATTATCAAATATGTTGTAAATCCAATGCTGTTTGTTGTTTAAATAAATAGAATTTTATTTCAACACCAACAAAAACACTTTCATAGCAAGTAGGCTAAATAGCATCAGGTACTTTTATTAATTTACAGATATCCAAACAAGAAAAAGTGTTACTTATTATTAAATCTATTACCATTTTTGTTTATCTTAAATATTGAAACTAACATTGAAAATGTCATGTTCCACAAGAATCACCAGGGTCAATAGTTCATGATGGAATACTCATGTTTCGTCTTCTTCCTTACCATACTTTTCTAAGAATTCTGTAGACTTCTCTACCCTTTTGGCTTTATGTCACCAATCAAATTGGTATGGAATCCATCTCAGCCTGGGTTATTCTCCTATTATCTCTGATTAATGCCATAACTCTATCCTTATTGCAATTGTTGCTGGCTGTTCTTTGGCATCCTGGCTAGTCACCCTCAAGTATATTTATTTTTCCTCCTTTAAAATTCTCTAATCCAATTTCTTACTTAACCTTTGCTAAGTAGGCCATTTTATAAATTTTCAATGTCTTGAATAAAATTTTTACCATTGCAATGAAAAAGAAAAGACGATTTACGTGAATTTATCCAAGCAAAGAAAACACGCGATTCTGCAGTTAAAGAATGCTAAATCCCAAAAAAAAAATACTTTTAATAAAAGAGATTATCTATCAGAGACCATTCCTGGTTTCAATTCCACCACCAGATTCTATTATCCAGATTTTCAAAATATTTTAAGAAAAGATAGATAAAAAATATCTCAATGAGAATTGCTTTAAATATAGATAATAAACTTTCATAGGCCTATAAAATTGTTTGTCAAACAATACTTTTTTGTTTATATGTGTATTTTTGTGATAAATGAAATATGATTTTTTTAATATTAAAAAATGACTAATTAAAAATTGAGATACTGACCTTGACTACAATTTTCAGGTTTTCCATAATAGTCATATATACCACTAGAAACAAATAAATTTGGTTGTGATTGCTTTGATTCATCATTGAAATAGCATGTATTCTGATCTCTTTTGTAGTCGATTGACCTTGAAAAAACAAGAGAAATTAAATAAATTCTATTGTCCATTTTTTTTTACTCCAAAAGAAGGAAAAGATAAAGAAAATCCAACTTGCAAAGTTCATTCTTGTCACAGTATTTTTTACAATTTTCAACAGTTGCCACACCACTTGTAGAACCATCAAATTCAGCTATTGGAATTGATCTGCCAGAGATAGCACTACCCGCAAAATATTCGTAGTCA